AGGGAAAGAAAAACGAGGACATCCTTTTGTTTCTGTTTTTTGTTCTTTCCTCCTAAAGTTCTCAAAGGCACTTTTAAAGTTCATCAGCCCTTCGTTCCCCGGTACACACCCCCCTTCTAAACTGCTGAAGTACAATTATCCTCTCTGAAGCCTAATGGAGCCACAGTGAAAGCTCTGCTCTTATATCTGAAATTAATGTGTCAAGTTGTTGCAGAGTTTTGAATTGCTGCAAAATTTTAACTCACTCTTCATTTCTGAGCAGCAGCTCAGTGCAGAAGGCTCCTGGAGCACAGAAAGCCACTTAATCATGTTCAAAAATAGCTTCTTTTGTATATCCCACTTTTACTTGTGGGCAGGTCCCTACAGATCCAAGCATATTTTCTGAGGCCTAAGTTTTCTCCCTACTACACCACAAGCTTAATTTTTGGGATGCTAAGTATCTGCAGCTGCCATTTACTTCAACTGGAGCTGTATGCTCTCAGCATTTCAGATGCACCGAGTCCCTAATATCCTCGCTGTAGTTCTGTCAGCTTCCAGGGATGCTGTTCACATCACTGCGTTAACTGCAGGGTTACTGTGAGATCTCTAGTAGAGTTAGCCATGAAATTACAATATAAGTGCAAGTGAGCTAGTGGGCTTGTCCCTTAGGCCCATTACACAATATTGCAGGCAGGCACATACGCTTATAATGGGTTAAACTTAATCGTTTTGGTGAAGTATCCCACACCTGGGATTTGCACCCGGTAGATTTTTAGAGGTTTCGGTTGTAACATTTGAGCAGTTTCTGGGAATGAATTAAAAATGCGTTGTTTTGCCCATGTTAAATATGTACAGTTGTATTTCTGAGCAGCTCCCATGTCTCCGTGCCTAGACTCCAGGACTTGGACGTTTTTGGACAGTTTCCTAGGACAGACCTTTTGCCACTGCTGTAAACGCCTGCCCAAATCCTACCAGGCTTTACACTTCTGAAAAAATCTCAGCATGTACAGACTAAATACATGTTTGTTAGTTTGGCAACTAAGTTCTCAGAAGATTCAACTGGCATTTGAGCATGCTCCAAATGCTCATAGTTTCCTTGTATAATCAGACAGCATATGGGCCACCCCCACAGAGTGGCTAAGTGTATGGGAGCCCAGGGCTGCAGAGCATGAGTGGGAATTGCCTTGCAATTGTTTTCCCCAGCACTGGAGTGTGACAAGGCTGGGTATCAGACTCTGCCTGGTATTGCACCCCTCCTGCTGGCAACCAAATGCAGCAGGACAAGAGTGAAGAGAGACTGCCGAAGTGGGGGAAGGAACGGGTTGGGGGGGACGGACAAGAGAGAGATTTTGCGGTCATGAGGGAACGCGTGAGTGATGCATCAGGCAAGGAAAAGAAAAGGGGGAAAGAAAGGGAGGAAATGTACAGAAACAGGAGGAGAAAACATGAGCACAGCTGCAGAAGTGAAGCTAAGATGAGAAGGGGACTGTGGCTAAGTATAGGCAGTTAAAAAACCCAAGGCTGAATTGATTCAGTCTTTGCTGGTTAGTCTAAACTGTGTAGATTGAATTGATAAGCAAGTGAACAGACATTCACTTTTGATTCTGGAAATGCAGCCACCTGCCTGCAGTGGCCCATGTGGCCCAGGCCAGAAGCTAGGGGGTACTAGAGCACCCCCCGCCGCTCGGTTGGAGCAGACAGCTTGGGCAAAGGCTAGCCCACCCACCCTGCAAGAGGAGGGGCGCGGGGGAGGTGAAAAGCATTCTGGGATGCTGGGGGACTATGAGCTAATTTGAATCTGGAGGGGCTCTGAGACAGCAGTTCAATAAACTAATTTAACCTAAATCAGTTAAGTCTGATACTACGTCCATCCAAGTTTATCTTAAACTGGTTTCAGCTGTTTTGAAAGCAGTTTATGTACACTGAACTTCTGTTGTGGTATAGATTTTAACTGGTTTCTGATCGCTTCTACTGGTTTATGTATAATTTCTGTCTCTAGTCTGTGTGGGTGTGTGGAAGGAGAAGGGATGCAAAGCTATGAAACCACCACATACAGCACTTGGACATGAACCAAAGAAGCCTAACTCTTAATGTTCCTTTACTATCAGCAAACACTTGAAACTTGGAGGCAATGTATGTGTCTGTCTCTCCAGCGGCATATCTACTTCCTACTGCTAGCAGTGATTGAATTAGCTTGCTGATAGGAGCAGCCTGTGCTACAGATCTTAAAATCCCAATGTCGTTAAGCAGCCACGGAGAGTCACCACAGTTCCACACTGTGCGGGGACGTAAGGGTGGGGCCACGAGGGAGGTAGAAAGTATTACAATGGTTAAAACAAGTTACTGCGAAAGGCCAGTCTCTTGCTACACTAAGTATCTATACATATTTGATAAAGGCCTTCACCAGTGGATCCTTACAACATTTCCTTAATCTTTATGATTAGAAAACACAAGAAAACAAGCGTTCAGCTTCTTCTCAACTGCACTAAGCCATTATTATACAGCTCAAAGATTTTCCTGTTCTAATAGCTCTTAACTCATCTCTCTCAAAATCAACTTTGTGGGGGTTTTTTCCCAGGAAGGCCCTCACTGGGAAGCTTCCATATTTAATTATTATACTTTTTCAGGGTTTTTTCCCTTCTGATTAATGATATTCTGCAGTTGGGTACACCCACTCCACAGAAAATAACTCAGAATTTAATTCTCAAAGCTCTTGGGGAAATTATTCCGGGCTTCCTCAAGGCAGAAGCAATAATTTCTCAAGAGGTTGAATCCTTGCCTTCAGATTCATTTTTATCAAAGGAAGAGAAGAAAACCACCTTGCCTATTTTAATAGTGACAGTTTTTTTCTTTCTTCCTTTTTTTTTTGTTATAATCAGGCAGGCTGGTTTGTAGAGACAATCAATTTGGACTCATCACTATGTTCATGGTTTCACACATTCATTGTCATTTGTTGCTTTTTGTTTTGGTCACAGTTTCTTAATAAAGTATGAAGTATGTTTGAGAGGGAGATATAACGGCTGCTGCGATCAGGAAGGGAGAAAGCCACAGCAAGGAATCTCCTGAAGAATATACTCCACAAGGACTTAGGGGAACTGCCCCAGAGACAGAGATTTGAAAAGACAGAAATCAGCACCTTTTCTGTGAATGCAGTAAATACCCACAGGAGCCCCTGGTCCATCTCCAGACCTGCAGCCTCCCCCTACACTTCACCGCTGGATTTCCCATTAGGACTTTCCTAAGGGATGAACATCATCAATCCCCAGTTTTCACTTCAACGAGGTGACACCAATTCTACTTCCCTTGTGCAGTTTTTCCTTTCTTAGGCTTAAGAACCTTCTTTAAAAACCCCACAGGCCCTACATTTCGTCACTGATTGTCACTAGCATGTTACTGATATATAGCCCAATGAGACCATGGGTTTTGGTGAGGACACCAGTTGTGTTCGCATGGGCGACTGGTGCCACATTAGTTAGGGGGGGCATGCGCCCCCCCCCAGCGACCAGTCAGCAACCCACGGCCAATCTCACCAATGGGTGGGGGGTGGTTCCCACTCCCCGGCTGGCACTCCCACCTGCCCATCGCCTAAGCAGTGAGCGCGGCCTGTCAGAGGGTGCTTAGGCGCTCTCAGGGGGTGCATATGCACCCCCGTGCACCCCCCTACACGTTGCCACTGTGTGTTCATGCTCTCGCCCAGATGTTTTGACTGTGGAACAAACCCAGAACACTTGCTGTCAGGAAGGGCTACTGGGTCTATATAAGGAAAGAGAGGAGTGAGGAAAGGGAGGGAAAAGAAAATGGCCTCTTTCTCCTAAAAACCCCTTCAGCATTACCTTTGGGGACCTTGGGACACTTTAACCTTCTTCTTGCTGGATAATCTAAATTAAGGACTGTCCAATACTCCAAATGCAGCTTTGACAGCAAATGAGCTGAGGTTTTGAAAGCTGAGGAGAGGTGGGATGAGAAATCTACCACAAAAAGTAGGAGCAAGCTGTATTTTTCAGCATCAAAGGCCACACTGGATAACATTCCCTTCTATTGCTGCTATTTAGAAAATGGAATTTGGGCTCGGTGAATTATTTCTGGCTAACAAGAGCCATTCCACAATGGGGTGTAGACTTCTTGGGTGGCTGGAAAATCTAGCCCACCAGAGGCCTGCAACCATAACCTAATAACAACAATATGCTACCTCTGTTGTAGCTCAGGGCTACAGCCCCACATCAGCAAACTGAATAGTTAAATAACGCTGAGCTGGTGCATGCCTGCCTTGCTCCCAGCAGCTGCTTGAGGATCCTGCGTTACATTCCAAAGCAAAGCTTGGTCAGGGCCCAAAATGGTATTGAAATGACTGGCAGGAAGAGTTCCTATTGTCCACAGTTTATTGAAACTGCACCAGTCAAAACATTTTTCCAGAGCAAAGCTGGCAGGCCACACACGTGACTGCTCAGCTCTTACTCCTACTAATGTGTCCCCTGCATTCTTGATGAGGCACATAGCAAGAGCCTGCTGGAATGGCTTGGAAAAGAGCAAAGTAGTTAATAGAAACCAAATATGCTCCACCTCTCTCTGCATACCTCAGAGAGATGTACTCAGGCCTGATGTAGCAATGCAGCACACAGTAATGGGATCAGATACCTTAAGGAGCCTGGAGCCTGATTCTTAATATACCGTGCGAGGGCTGGACTGTGGATGCTGTAATTAGCAGCCAGTTCTCTGATTTCAGCCATATGGCAAGGTGCTGTCACAGCATCTTGAAGCCAGTGCACTCCAGGGAACAAGGAGGGAAGACGAAAAAAGGATGAAGTAATGTATACCACTGCCAGGCCCATGCCCACTTCACCTCTATGCATTGACAAAGGAGGAGCAGGAAGGAGGAGGATAGGAGAGAGCGGCCTGAGGATAAGAGACACTCTATGCTCATGAAAACCAAATAGATATTGGGCACCTGCTCTTTCACTCATGCGCAATCATACAATGTCATACAGTAGGTTGTAGCAGTCTATAAATCCAGCAGGCAGGATCTACATCAGAGCAGGGCCGGCCCGTCCTGTTCTGTGCAACTTGCAGCCTCACGGGGCCCCGCAGCCAAGGGGCCATGCCCTGCTTGACCCCGCACCATGTTTAAAGGGCTCGATGCAGGCAGGGAGCCCCTTCCCGGCCGAGCGGTGGAGGAGTTTCTAGCTCTGCTCCTACCCTGACCCTGGTCCCGGTCCCAGGGAGGGAAGTCAGGCATCCCCAGCACATGCTGCCCCCACCTCGCAGCCCACGTGTGTGCAGCCCAGCCCCAACTATTTCAGTGAGTTTATATCACAATTAACTGCAATTTTCATTTTTTGATGGATCAGGAGGCCCCAAAACTATATTTTGCAGGGGGCCCCAAAAACTTGTGGGCCAGCCCTGCATCAGAGGCACTTAAATGAATGTTCATTAAGAGGCCCCAGTGTCCTCTGCCTTCAGTTGCAGTATTCTGGGTTTTTTTTCCTGCATGCAGGAAATTATTCTCATATTTTTTTCCAGAAGCAAGAGGACACACCTAGAACACTTGGTTCAATTCTTGACACGGTTTTACTCAGGAACATGTCGATGAGCTTGAGGAGATGCAGAGGAGGACAAGAAAACAGGGTGGAAGCCTCAGGCAGGACCAACTTCTGAGGCAGGAACAGAAGGCCTGAAGTGTTCGTGACTTTGCTATGTAGGGTTTCTAATATGTAGCTGAAGGATGTACACATCAAGGAAGGAGAGGAATAACTGGAGTGGAGCCCATGGAGTAGAGCTAGAGGAAGTTGGTGAAGTGAAAAAAACCCGCAGGTAAGTTTAGATCTAACACTAGGGAAAAAAAGTCTGAGAGCTAGAACAGGTTTCCAAGCAGCTGTAGAAGACCCATTGCCCGAGATATTTAACTCTGAACTGGACAAGTCAGAAAACGGGCGGTAGGGAACAATCTGGCACAGACAAAGGATGGAGTAGGCTGCCTACTCTGTGTCCCCATCTTTCACGTTCCTGGTTTTCAATGTTTAAACTAAAAATCCCTCCTTTTAAGCAAAACGAGCTGAAATAAAGCCACAGCGTTGTGAAGCAGACCTGTAATGACATGGTTAATACTGTCCTCGAAGTGTTCTTTACAGCCGCGGCGCTGTGACTGAGCACTTAGTTTGGGCACAAAATTAGCCAGTTGGTTCTCTCGGGCATTTGTAAGAAGTGGTGATGGAGGCCTCGGAGACCTGGCCTTAGATCTTTCCCCGGGATCTGAATTCCTGTTTACCAGGCACTGTCTCAGCATATTCCAGGACGCACTGATACCCGCTGCGGGAGTGAAGGATGCCAAATGCATCTTCAGCTTACATGCAAATGCCTCTAGTTAGTGGCCTGTCTGCCCTTTCTGAGGCCCAAGGGTGAATGACATAACCCTGTATACCTGAGACCCTCTTGAGAGAGGCAGAGACAAATTGAAATTATAAGCTGGCATGCCCTTAAGGTCCCAAAAGCCTTTCCTTCTCTGACCTTTCTGAAAGCATTTGAACAGTGCAACGCTGCCTTTGCCCAGACAAAAATGTCCACCAGGTCACAACACGGAGGAGCCATATGGACTTCCATACGTCCCTTGCTGTCCGGGATAGCTTCTGGAAACCACGCATGGAGAATTTAAGTTTCTCTTCTAGCAAAAGGGAAGTGCCCAATCCTTCCTAGTGAAACGTCAAGTGCTAACGCAGGAAGGTGCACCAGGAGAATGGGCAGGAAGGAGTGTGGGTACACGCTCGTGTGCGAGGGCAGGGGTTGGGGAGGCAGGGGCTCCTTATGCAAGGAGCTCAATCCAAGAACTGTGCGTGTAAAAAGGCGACAGCTGAACATGTATGCAAGCAAAGAATGATCATGTGCGTCCTTCCCTGATGTCCTTCTATCAGACCCGCCCATAAGCGTGCAGGTAAAGAGCCTGGTTTGATAGGTCTGACTGCAGATGCTAAGACTGACCCATCTCTGAGGCAGGGACTGAGCTGGCAGCTGCTCCCTCAGGCACCGGCTGCTCTGGAGGTCACTCCAGAGGTCTGGCAAGGCAGCAGCTAGAGGGCCATTACCATGTCCCTGCCGCTACAAGCACTTTCAGGCACACAAAGGAGACATAAGACAGCATAGTCCCCTTGCTTTTCCTCCTGTGCTGCAGCAGCACACTGCAAGAGGAGGCTGGTCTGCCACTGCACTGCCTGGCATCCCTGCCTCTTCCCTCCCTTCCTGCCAGTGCCTACCTGTCTGGGCAGAATAGCTGGCATTGGGAAGGTCTTGGTAGCACACAGCGCGGGGAGACCTTCTCCACCCCCATTTGGGGAGAGCTTGTGCAGCCAGGTGGAGACCTACTTGCCCTTGAAGGAAGGTCTCCATCAGTGAAGGGGGCTGGAAAGCTGATGGTGGACACTTAACAGGACATAACGTGTAACTAGCCTCTCACGATGATGTGAGAAGCGAATGGAACCAGTGCGGAGCATCATATAATATACTGGATTTAGCCTGGAGTCCAGAAACATTCAGGGATCCCCGCTCTGCATATCCCCATGAGACCTCTAGATATTTTGAAATTTCACTATGGTGATGAATAAAAACTCTTGTATGGGCACCTGCAAATGGAAAACCAATTCAGAAACGCTGATCAAAACTTATAATTCAGTTAATGCAGGCAACCGGTTATTTGATATACCATAAAAGGTATATTTTAGCGCCCCAGCGTTAGGCACAAAGTGAACTAAAACACAAAGTGACAAGATAATTACGCTTGCTTACAATCACTGACTTCAGCATGTCTGCAGCCGTCTCATTAAATGAGACAAGCCTTAGGAGGTTGTGCATGAAATACATTTTCTGCGGTGCTTTTAAGAGCTGTGTAACAAGAGACAAAAACGTAGGCACCACAAACATGAGTGCTTTGTTCGCTTAGTGGCAGTAAAACTTTTACTAAACAGCAGCAGAGCTGCCATGGGCTAAGGACCAGTGGGATATGAGACTGTTAAACTATAGGCTCCTTCCAGTCAACACTATTAAGATACTGAGAAGCTCTATTGACTCTTCAGAGCAGATTTCCCGGTCTGCAGTCATTAAAAGCTATTCCTGCCTCATAGCCACTTTGTGACTCCTGTGACGTGTGCGAGGAATCACTGGTCCACCCATTCCCCGTGCACAGGCATCCGCATTCCCACCGGTACCCTTAGCAGCACGTTCAGCAGAGAAGACAGGGACTTATTCTAGAAGAAATCCAAGGGGAAGAGAGCGGCGCTGTCTGGAAGGACTCTCACTCTTGCTGGTCTATGGTGAAGTCCTTTCTGGCTTGTTTCACTAGCACTAAAACTGCTTTCAAACTCCTCTTCAATGTTTAAACCAATATTGGCACCAGACTTCCTGGTAAGTGATAGACTTACTTTGTCTGAGCTACCACAAGCCTTCCTGTATGCTCTTCCTTAAAACAGCAGATAGGTTTTAAATGAATGCTGCTAATCCATTTACAGGGTTCATCTTGTTTTCATTCAAGAGCTGCTGCACAGTGATGTATTTGAGCACGCTTCACACATTTCAAGAGGCCATCATCTTGTCTGAGACCAACAGCATCCATATGCCTCTTGTGTGACCCTGAGCAACAAAACTAGTAGTTCTTTGCCTCAGCTTACTTACCTCACAGTGACCACCTGAGGCTTCATTCATTAGTGCTGGCCAAGGCTCAAATGAAAGACAGTGATCTCTCTTGCAGATCATTTTATTTCTATTTTATAAAAAGATTTCCTGATCTTGCTCTCTGGGTTTGGTTTGCTTTAAGGTTGTTATTGAATCTGGACTGCCATTTTGTTCTGTCTGGTTGCACAAATAAAGTGCACGTTCAAACGTCTCAGGGCCCTCTGGTTAAGGTTAAGTATCACAAGCATCCTATGGCTTTTCCATTTTTGTGTGAAATTACTCCATACATTTAAAATGAATTGGCATTATTTATTTCCCAGCATAAACCCTACACAACTCCATTGCACGGTACGTTCCACCGCCGAAACGTTGCACACAAATGGAGAAATTAATGACCTTTACGCTGAGAAAGCACCAATACCTTCCCCTCAACCAAATGAATAGCTTTGATGTATTTTTGTGAGAAAATGATATAATATATTTGAAATGCACCCATCTCTGGATGGGGTTGGATAATTTATCCAAAAATGCATGGCCTCGACACATACGAGACAGTATAACGAGCCCAGGGAATAAATTCATAGCTCCTGTGGCATTTGTACTATTTTCATAAGGAAGAGGGATACCACTTTGCATAATACATTCATTTTTGTGGTATGCTCCGAGTACAGGAAAACCTCATGCTGTCACTCAGTGGATTATAGGAATAGCAGCAGTCGTGCCTGTGTGATGGAAAAAGCCAAGAAATAGGTTTGTTTGCTCTGCTGTAATACATAAACATGACTGCTGCTGGTTAACGCCCTCCCGCTGGGCGCTTCATGCTACATCGTATGGATGTCATGTTATGTTAGGCTGGACACAAAGAGGAGCCCCAGAAAAGACAATATTTACAAGGGAAGATATGAGCATGGATGTTATATGGATGTCTACACATGCGCCCAACTGTGCATTTCTTCTTGCGCAGTCATTTAGTACTTGCTAAAGCGGTTCCAGCGCCATGTGGGTCATTTCCGCACAGACTCGGCACCACATGGGTTGTTTCCGTTCGTTGCTACTGCGCAGCAGTGGTGGTGTCATGGTTTGTGCCCCCGGATACTATGTCGCCATAGCTTGTCCCATGCATGTCGCCATAGCATCTCATGTAGAGTGAGTACTGATTCCCTAAGGCTTGATTCTTCCAGGAGGTTTGAAGAGCAGAATCACAAAAGAAGTAAGAGGAGCAGCTTATTTTAGCCATCCAGATGTGCTTGGGCCTAACCTGAACCCTGTGTGATTAATGTGCTGTACTCTACGGTGTGTGTTATCTGTTCTTACTGCACCATAGCTCATACTGAGATTACAAACTCTTTGGGCAAGGGATTGTGGTTTAAATTTTCAGAAGTGCCCAAGAGATTCAGGAGACAAATCCTATTTTCAGTCATTATGGCTAAAGCTCTTCAGGATCTCCAGCACTTCTGACAATGGGCCTGAGAGTACAAAGTCACTTAGGTGCTTTTGAAAATTTGCCCGTCTCTCTGTTTGTTCTGGAAAGTATCATGCTTGCTCCAGGGCACCAGCTTCTTAATAGTCCAGCTGCCTTGTTGGTGACTTCCTACTGGGAAGGGTGAATTCCATTGAATGACATTGGTAAATTCCTGTAAAAAAGACTGTCTTTCCAGCAGGAGAAGCGGCATCTTAATAACATTAACAATAATCTGTTAACTGAATAGTATGGTCTTAAGCACAAGAAACGGCTGATAGTCCAATCAAGTCTTAATGCAGTTTATTAACGTCTGGTTTATTTTATGGGGTATCCACTTCTCACTTGTTTTTCCATCTCACCCACCTTGAAATCACCGTCCTTAGCTAATAACCAAAAGCAATATTGCATGACGACCATCCTGAGTAAGGGATCCTGCCAATGGTACTTCCAGTATAATATGCTGCATATTGCTGCCAGCCCCTTACATCTTCCCCCAGCCTCTTATTTGACACATTTTCATTCAGACCCCTTGGTTTATTTCTTTTCAACATGGGCATTTAATCATACCTCTAGTACAGGCATTTATATAATTTAGTTACTTAACTGTAATACGGATCACTTACCTATCATGGGAGACTCTATAAAACTCCATGAATTTGTCTGAGGGACATAGGATTGCAAGACCCCAGCAGCA